GTCGGCAACCCGGACTACTCTCACACATACAAATCAAAGGACAAACCCTCGTAGACAGGAGTTCATAACTCACTTAGGACTAAAATCGAGTGACATGATCATCTTGTGAAATATTAATCTAAATAGTTAACGGTGTTACAACTATWGATTAATAATTTCGCGGTCCGGTCTTATACAAACTCATTATATAGGATACCCCGCTCGCATGTTCCTACATGAACAACCTGGATAGAATCATTTATAATTGTTACAAAGTGGGTCATATCCATAGTGTTACCACATAAGGTATCCGACCTTATTCATGTACTAGACCATTTAGTTTATTACTAGAACATTATCTACTTATATATCGATAATATATATAGTTTATATACCGGGTATATTAACTGTATATCAAACATATACATGTTCCAGTTATATTAAATAACCTTGGATCTTAGTTTATTGGAATAATAAAAAATAACTTTGATTAATAATAAATAAAATGTTTACATATTACAAACTCACGAGCTCAGGGCACTAAACCCAACACGTTAACTGTCGCCCGCCACCAGTCGCGCCGATCCACTGACCCCGATCAAGATCCACCGTGTGCTACCTAGATCTATAAGTCCTCCAATCTTAACCCGATTTGTCGCCCAACACCCCATTTTGCCACTCGCTACCCTGATCCATCGTTGTCAACCGTCCTTCGGCAGTTTTCGCCCGCCGTTCTAGTCGCCTCTTCAACAGATGTTCGAGGAAGGTAAGTCTAGCAGTCTTTTTGTTCTGACTTTGTGAACTTTGAATGATGAAAAACAAACAAAAGCAAAGTTTAAAAACTTGTTTTTTGCCTTATCATAATTTAGAGATATTTGAAAAATAAAAAATAGTTGTAGGATCGACCATATGAATGTGTCAAAATCTGAAGACTATATTTTTGGATCGGTATGACAACCCTAGAGGGGGTGAAAAGGGTTTAATTAAATGTTATAAACTTTTTACTACGGTGGGCCCAAATTTAAACAAATAAGTAAACTTTTTAGGAACAATTAATTTTATCACAATTTAAACAATAAATTAGAAATACAAACACCCTAATTAATTTCACCACCCACATAATTCAAATATAAACATTGAGCATAAATATGAATAACAAATTCAAACAATTAATTTTATGCAATTTATAATAAAGAAAACTAATTGCAAAAATTAAATAGAGTAGGGTTAGAGAAAATGACACCGGAGATTTTATAGTGGTTCGGCAACAACTGACCTACCCCACTCCTCAAGTGCCTCTCGGGTATTCGATTAAGAAACTTTRACTCTTTCCACGGTAGAAGTCAAACCGGTATAAAACCTTCTTTTTCCGGGAGCAAGAAGAAACCCGATCCTTTCCACGGTTCAGGATCAAACCGTTACAAATGCTCTTTTTAGGGCTTAAGAGCAACCCTTACAAAGGATATGAAATTTGAGAACGAACTTACAAACTCTCTCAAAGAGTGGGTATATAAATATTTGCTCACAAATTTGTAAGAAAAAATTCTTACAAATAAAAGTTTTCAAATTGGCTAAAAGAAATAAAATTGGAAGCTCAAATATCTCTCAAATAAAAAATCTCCCTCAAGAATATAGAACAAAAATTGAAGCTTTGAAGAGAGTTTAACAATGTAGAAATTGGAGAAAAAATTGGGAGAGAATTAGTTGTATAAAATGTTGAAGGAAGTTGGGTTTAAATAGGCGAGGAAAAGTTGAAAATAAATTTGAAATCGAAATTGAATTTGAACCATTAGATCGTTAATGATTGAAAATCAAAGGTTGAGATTTAATTGAATAAAATAATAATAATAATAAAATATTATATATGGATGTGTCAAACGGCTATATATATATAATATAATATAATATAATATATATATATATTTTTTTTTTAAAACAAATATGTATTTAATGTGATGTGACATATATATATATTTTTACTTTTTTTTTCTTTCTTTTAAGTTACCAGCGGTAACTTTGTTTTTTTTTCTTTTCTTTTTTTAACACCATGCCACATGTCAACATTTTGTTGGACCACTTAGTTGATTCAGCCGCCACGTCATCCATCTCGGGCAATTTTTCTTCCAACTTCTTTCGATCATAATTTCTTCGTTTGAACTCTGATTTGGGTAATTCAAAATTCGTTGGAATTATCGTATCGAGCTCTACACTGTAGATACTTTAAAACGCTAAAATTATCGATAAACAAAATATGTATTATCAGTAAATCAAATAATATTATTGAAGCTCATAATAAATTTATGTTTTATAACAATAATTCTTACACACCAAAAACAATTAATACTAAGTGTCTTTGTTATCATCAAAACATTAATTAATTTAATTAATTAACCGAGATTAAGGGCCAAAAAACCAACATATATCTACTTAAGTCCAAGTACTTTCCATATTTAAATTGAATGACACCGGCAAAAAGAGAGGCGAGGAGACTTAGTGGGAAGTAAGGTAAAACAGGCTAAGTTGACCCCAAAAGAAATTTGTGTTCAGGTGAGGAGAAAGAAGTAAGTTGTGAATCTAAAAAAAAAAAAAGTAATAACTTAAGGGGTCTTCGTGTTGAACACTAAWATTTACAAATTAGAACCAGTAAACTAATTGTACTCAGTATGTTTCAAGGAAAAGGAATGGGTCTTAAGGTAGTGGAGTTTCAAACCTTCTAATTATGTTAATTGAGTTGTACAGTGATATATACATATATTGACCTTCTAATTTTGATAATTGAGTTGCGGTGTGATATATTCATTTATTTACCTTCTAATTTTGYTAATTTTTGTATTGGTATATACATGTATTTACCTTATAATTTTAGTAATTGAGTTTGAAAAAAAGATGCAGTGCTTAGAGGAAGGAGAGAGACGATAAAATCACCCTATTTTTTAAAACTCCTCAAATTTGATTCGGTGATTTGTATAAAATGTATAACTATTGATGATTTTTTTAAATGGGTGCCACCTAAATTATCCTTTTTATTTTTTCATTTTTATCTTAATGAAAATAGGAAAAAAATCTACTTTTCGAATTGACAACTTGTATAGTTGTATATATATATTTGAAGGAATGGTTTTTACCCGTATTAATGGGCTAGCTTTTACTTTGTATCTTCGATCTGTAATTTTTATTGGTTGTATTAAATTGTCAACAACAAAAATTAAGATGAATTTAAGAACAGTTTATAAAGATCGGTCGGTGAATCAGTCTTAATATCCTAAAACACTGAAATGAATTTGTTCGTCTAGTACCATTCTTTTAACAGTAGAAAGACCATGTTGGCAAAGGGAAAATTTGATTTTCCATATTGACAAGCTTGACAAAATGAAAATTTTTCGTTGGATTTGATATTCTTCGTACGAGATCGACTTGAGAATCAAACTAAGAACACTTGGGGATGGGTGACCAAAATGCCTATGTAACGCGTCAAAAGAACGATATCGTACAGGCTTCTACGGTCCCAGTAGAATTCAACGATAATCAACAAACATTAAACAACAAGAATTGTGTAATCACACTTAGAAAAACAAAGAGCAAGAAAACTAAACAATTTTCCTCAGCTTCATCTTTTGGGCTCTTGTTTTCTTTATATAAACAATTAATAATATTGTATACAATTATTACATCAAGGTGAAAAAATCTCTACCACCTTCACACGTGCACGTGCCTATTTCTAGACTATTCTATTATGCAGAAGCCGTTGGAAGGAAAAATGCTCGACCGTAGTAAGCCTTTAATTGATAAATAGAACGGTATCGTTCAACTGGATATCTTGATCTTCGCATTATTAACTCTACATACCTTTTGTTTTTGATAATTAACTATATAAAACTATCTTCTCGATTTTGGAACCTCATAATCAAATAAAACTTAGATCTAAATTTTAGAGATGAAAAGTGTAACTTGTCATTACTGTGTTATGATTGTAAAGTCACTCATAAACCTCATCACAAAATCCATTGTGCTTGACAAAAAAAAATATTGTTCTCGTTAAGTCACTTACTCTTTTTTAGACGAAAAATATTTGACTCCTCAACGGTGCGGACCAACTTATCCTCACCTCCCTTGGAAATTTAAAAATTCATTATTTTTTTAAAAAATCTTGTTTTTAAATTTCTCACTTTTAGTTGTTACATTTAATGGTGGCGAGGACAATATTGCTTCAGACCAAGTCTAAGTATTTTCTTTTTTAAACCCTTGCATTGCATATAAATTCAAAATTGAAGGCCTTCCTTCTCTTTAAAAACTTGGCTCCTCACATCCAATGTTTGACAATTAAGATAAAATGCAAATTTCATTAAAAAATAATGAGTAGTCAAAATAATAAATTGGGATAAAAGGACAATTTTTTCCCTCCTTTTATGGAATAAAATTTAATCCTTTGGCTGAATTTATTTATTTTTGCTAAGTGCTTGCATGTACTTCCATACCTCGTGAACTGCAGGATCTTTAAAAATATTGGGGTAATGATTGCATCAGTGCACAAATTATCGACATCGAATCTTTTCTTCTGATTTTCTTTTCGAATTTTCAGTTTCTTATTTGTGCTTTCTCAAATTTTAAATTTCTCCGTTCTATTTCCGTCTTTTTAGTAAAAAATAAATAGAATTACATTATTCAAAAATGATAAAACCATATTTTTGTTAAATCGAAAGTCGAAAATAGAAACAATAAACAAGAAATATGTTTATATTGTTTTCAAAATTTTTATACAATTTTGAGAGTATTTCTAGAAAAATAAGAAACAAGAAACATAAATAGTAGCAAAATACTTTAGGTTTAATAATCAAATTGAAAAAGAGAAACAAAAAACGAAAACGTTACCGAACAGGTCCTCGGTGTACTCACTGTTCACTAGCAGAGATGGGTAAGAAACAATAGAACYTCGCTCTAATATCAAAGATGAAAAAACCACCACTCAACCTATCGAGGTTGGGTAAATTTAATTCATAGATCCTCGACATATATTACCTTTCTTTTCAAAATTGTTTTAGCGTAGTCATATTTTTCTTCCATTGTAATTCATAGCAGATAACAATTGTTCAATCCGGCACAGGAAAGTTTAAACACTTGAAACAAGTAAAGCCCCCATCAACCACCAAATTGTGGCCACTTACATACTTGGCATCATCGGATGCAAGATAAAGGGCAGCATTTGCTATATCATTAGTTTCACAAACTGTTCCTTCTAAAGCACCTGTGTCGAATATCATCTTCTCAAGTTTCTGCTCTTCAGTGCGAGGAAAAAGGCGACTCATTTCCTCCATAACAAATGGTGTCGGGATTGGAAATGGCGATATGCAATTGACTCGGATACCATATTTGCACAATTCTGATGCCATGGATTTAACCATGCCTATAATAGCAACCTTTGACACTGAGTATGTGTGTTGGGCCAGGCCACCCATCAGTCCTGTGACACTAGCTGTGCAGAGAATAGAGCCTGATTGTCGAGGGATCATGACACGGGAGGCATGTTTGATACCAACTAGGACTCCTCGAACATTGACGTTCATGACTTTATCGAACACCGCAAGGTCGAGGTCGACAATGCTTGGAGGAGTGTTGCAAGCAACCCCAGCATTGTTGTACATGATGTCGAGCTTTTTGTGTAGAGAGATGGTATAATCTACAGCATCAGATACATCAGACTCTTTAGTAACATCGCAGGGGACGTACGTTGCGTTGGGTCCTAGCTGCTCGGCCGTCTCTAGGCCGAGTTTTTCTTTGACATCGGCAATCACAACTTTGGCTCCGTTGTTTATAAATTTGGACGCAGTTGCCTTCCCAATACCACTTGCTGCTCCCGTGATCAGTGCTATCTTTCCTTCAAGCCTACATATCCAAACCAGATTCTCAAAAATAGGGCCTTTAGATGTGACATTTTTATTTTGAAAAGGAGAGTACAAATAGAAATTGGGAATCAGACTATAGTTCACCTTCCAGCATGGGAAGACAATTCCCTATTGAAGAAGCTCTGAGTAAGCGAATTCGTTAAATTGGTAACACTTTTTCTAGTTGAACCACTAGCAATACTGCAAGATGAAGATGTATCAACACAAAGGCCAAAAGAGACACTGCAAGAAATCCTTAGTTGAAGGATAAAGCTGCTCCGGGTGCAATTGGCACTAAGGAAAGAGAGATATATACCTTAGTCTGATCCGGAACATGCTTTTCAAAAGGTCTTGACAGATATATGGCAAGTTTGTCAGAGACGGGGTGGAGCGTCAAGCGGTCTAGGTAATGTAACTTGATGGAAGTCTAGACGCCAAAGACGAATAAAATGGCACTTTAGTCTCTAAAATCAGAAAAATAGTTCTAAACAATGTGCTTGTAAATTTTAGGAAAAAGAAAATTAGAGAGAAAAAAATATAGAAGAGCAGGCATAGAAGGATCAGGGTTTCATTGATGAGACAACTTCTTTTTCAAGGAAACTCATAAATGTTTATATTAATAAAACATATTAAAATATTGATCTACCTGATTCTAAAACCATAATCTATCTGATTAAGGCATCTTGCATCTGTCGTAGAGGTAGAAAGTTTAATCCCCTTATCCAAATATTTAACACACCCCTATTCCCACCAAAACAACCAAAACAAAAAGAAGAAAGCAAATATTTGAGTCAATTCTCAACCAAATTCCACCAAGGCTACAATAACGGTACAATATGCATCCAAACTTAACAAAGTACAAATAACTCTAAAAACCCTCATTAAACCCCCACCTCCCCTCCCAAGTCCTAGAGTCAATTCTCAACCAGAATATACCAAACCTACAACATGCAAATAACATCACAAAATACAAATAACTCAAAATCTCCTAAGCTTATTAACACACCTTCTCCCACAAAAACATAATGCAAGTCCTTAAGTCAATTCTCAACCAAATTCCACCAAGGCTAAAATATGTGGGGAAATATCACAAACTACAAATAACTCTAAACATCCTAAACTTTTTAATCCCCAGTTCTTGAGTCAATTCACAACCAAATGGTACCAGACATACAACATGAAATTAACATCCCAAAACACAAATATCTCAAAATCTCCTAAACCATTTAACACACCCATCCGACCAAGACAAAAACAAGAATGCAAGCCCTTGAGTCAATTCTCAACTAAATGGTACCAAACATACAACATGCAATAACAGAAGTGTGAAGTCCAAAACTCAAATCAAAGAGAAAATTTCAGCTGCGCATGAAGCATAGAATCGTGAGGTCTCTGTTTGTTGAAATGCCTTCCTAATGAGCCATTTCAACTTCGAAGTAAGGGAATGGCAACACAACAAAATTTGGCAACTCATCCAACCAAAGAAACTACGAGTTCAAGATTGAAGCTCAAAGCAATTAACGTAACAGCTTACAAGATCCTGAAGCAATCATTCAATTGCAAGCTATGTTATCATTTAAGATACTCCATACTAACATAAATACAGAAAGAAAAGTAGACAGCTCAAGCAATGTTTTTAAAAAGCCTCTGAGGCGCACGCCTAGATGCAATTCCAGAGGAGAAGAAAAAATGAAACCATACTATTTCTCTTTCTTTTTCTGCACGATTCTTGTTCTCCTTGCGTGTTTCATCTCATTCGATAAATTTCTCTCTCTCTCTCCCTCACTTGGTCAAAGAGGAAGAAAAAATGGTCGGATAAAAGGCAGAAGAAAGTGAAGAAGAAAAGTGGGGAGAGAGGAATAATAGTCAAGGAAAGATAGAAGGAGAAAAGTCAGAACAAAAGTTGGGAGAGAGGAAGAATAGTCAAGTACCCAGGGGTCTATCTGGTCCCGGGAGCCCCATTTCTGAAGATTTCATTCATAAAACACCCCAGAGTAGACTATATATATATATATATATATATAATATCCAGTAAAAAATTTATTTGTTCTAAAGAGTTTGAAATCAGTATTTTTAAGTCACAGAAAAAAAAAATGATTCAAACAGGAATTTCAGTGATCATTATCTTTTATTAATGATCACTGAAATTCTGCCCCAAAACAAATAAATTTTTTACTACATATTATATTATATATAAATTTTTAGTCTACTCACGGGTGTTTTATGAGTTAAACCTTCAGAAATTGGGCTACCGATACCAGATACACCCGAGTACATTTTTAAGGAAAGATAGAAGGAAGAGAAGTTAAGTCTGAAGATAGATAAGTTTAAAAGCATTAAAGAAGCTTACATTTTCTAGGCTCACAAAAGAGGTTGCATGCTAGTCAAATTGCCATGATTGCCACATGGCAGTTTTCTCTCCCCAATTCTGTTTACAACATTAATTTTTCCTATTTATTAAAAAAAAAGGAAACTCTCTATTAGCTTAAATTCGATTCTCTTATTTTTTCTACTTAAATAATTATTTAAGTGAAACAAGATAGCAAAGTTGTAACTTACACTACCATGCGTATTAGAACAGATAAAATGATTCATTAGTCTCAAGTAGTATTAACCTATTTCCAAGTAAAAACATAGTAACTACCAGTAGAAGGAAACTTTTCTACATTAGCTTCCAACCCTTTGACATCAAGACAAAGTGAGGTATTTAGAAATTTAGCAAAGTCGAACTAGAAGTCTACTAAATTGTTTCTTTAKTATTTTATAACGATTTCCACGTCCATCACTTTTTAGTCTAATTACTAATTACTAGTATGGTTAAATTTTATTTTACAAGGCATACAAACTTTTCATGGAAGAACATACCTTCATTTTTCTCCAAGTTTTTTAACCTTATTCGTTAGACAGTTGTTGGTTTAACCTAAGATTAGAAATTAGCTCAGAAATATTAGTAGTCAAGAGAAATGATAACAGAGAGTTATCTACTTTTATTGTCAAACATTAGCTTCACAAATTTGATTCAATACTTGTAATAGAATAACTTGCTACGGGTACAAATAATTCAAAATCCATATAATATTCCAAATAGATCAGGATTCACTTTCTGCACATAACTTCTTTGAGATGACCATCCAAGAAAATAGTTTGAATCAAGAAAATCAACCCAGTAAAGGCTTCAAGTAAAGAAAATCAAATATTTCGTAACATGAACATTACTAAATAAATTATAACATCACTAGGGAGCAGCATAGGAGACTGGAATTTTACCAATGTGAGATACAAAGGATGAATTGACTTCGGAAGACTGCAAAGTTCCACATATTCCTCCTGCAAAATCTTTGAAACCTCAAAATTGCATTCAGAGAATAGCTTCAGAACCCATCAGAGTATAATAACTCCATAAACATGTGATGGATATGAAAGAAGAAAAGCCAAAAATAGCACATGAAGTAACAAGATATCAAATTGCTAACTGAGGCATTTTAACGAACAGATGGTGCGCATCTTAGAAAAACAAATGCCAAGCTAAACTGCCACTACAAATTCGGAATTCGAGTTAAACAGAGACATTATAACGAAATATTACTTGAAGAAAATCCAGTTTCGACGAATTCTCGTTGGGTTTATGGAATCTGCAAATAAGAAGACTAGATAATAAGAATTTAGCTCATGCGGGAATTAATAGAAATTAATTAACATGCTAGAAATTAAATTCAAACTCATCTTTATAACTTGGGAGTTTAGATAGAAAACTAATATTGGCAAAGATGAATTAGAACTTGACCGAACTTTACCATTGTTCTATCAAATTTAGGAGAGTTGATAACCCGTTAAATTTCTAAAAAATGAGTTGTTCACAGAGCCCTTATTCAAAAATAAATGAGAATACGGGAAAAAGAAGCAATGGAATAGAAAATAATCTTATTAATGAAATGAGTGCTTATAAAAGGAACTTGATTTGCAACTAAAGAAGCACTTAAAAAAAGTTTGTGAATAAAATTACCACAAAGAAATTAACTAGCGCAACTAAGCTAAGATAAAAATCGATCATTTCACACCGAACGAGTTGCTATATTTATAGTGTATTTGGGTTTTCTATCCAAACTTTTCCTGGTGCCTCACGATAAGTCTCGAAACGTTAGGAAGAGTTCAAATGTGCATTTTAATCAATCGACTTCTCTCAACGCACGCAATAAAATCGAAAAAACTATCTTCTCTGAACGCTGTACGAATAGCAATCGGGAGAAATTCTGCATTTTTTCTCTCACACTAGGTTTTTTTACCAACGCAAGGAAAAGATTGGGCCGGGACAAAGCACATCTCTCGACACATTATTAAAAGCAAATTCTCCCTTTTTAAAGTTACTTTCTTTCTCTAAAAAAACGTGGGGATAGTAAAAAGTTCTTGCGCAAGTAACTAAATTTTATTAACCAAAAGTGTGGACTATTTTTTCACTTGAAAAAAAAAAGGAAAAGAAATTTTTTAAAATCCAACATGAGATTACAAATATGAGGTATCAAGTAGTTGGGAGATATTAGATGCTTCAACTCAAAACAAAGAAAACATATCATAAAGTTGAGCCCTCCCCTTCCACATAGTCCACCTCCCAATTATTCCCAACTCTTTGGGGCCCAAATACAAACATTAGCTTTTCTCTCTCTCTAACAATCATTGTATGGTTTGTGTGAAGCTGTCAATATATATGACACTATAGATATTTTAATAATTAAAAATTTTAAAAGTTAAAGTGACAGTGATAACTTAGTTATCTTCATCCACATAGTGCACCTCTCAATTATTCCCACCTCTGCATGTGGTACTAAAAAAAATTTTAAATGTAACAAGAAAATAATATCATATTGTTGTAATTTGATAGTTGAGAGGGAGAGAGATTTCTTTCCCTTTTTTGACACAAGAGGAGAGAGTTGGGTTTTCTCTTTCTTCCTTTTCAATTTTTTTAGATCAAAGAAATGCTCCATTAATAAGAAATGTGATCGCTAAGGATTATGTCATAATAGTGGTGTTCACGCACCATGTTTAGAATCCATGAAGGAAAATAGATATTCCAGAACATAGATAAACGATCAGAAATGACACAGTTGGCAATTAMAATAGCTTGYCTGTTCAACAAATCAGCAGATTTAGAAATTCATTTTCCGATCGCCTGGAAGGGACAAAAGAAACATCTYGTTCTTTCTTCAACAATTTCTGATCTCTAATGGACCACTCAATAGGATTCAAACCCATATGAAGTTCTGACCATTTGTCAGAGAAAAAAGAACGAATTGATCTGTTTCACGAGTTAGCTGGATCCCTGATCCGCGTAGACCAAGGGCGAACACTCATCGTTTACGGCATGGAGTGCCTATCAATTAGTTCCAAAAAAGCATGTGTTCATGTCGACGAATCTAGATTTTTGATGTAGTTGCAATAAGTTTGCTTTTTTTCGTCAAGATTGGGTTGGCGTTCCGTGTACCGTCAGTGTTGGTTCCAAGTTGCTTAGGACTATGAGGTTGCTAGTCTTTTGATGGTTCCCAGCCCCTTTTCTCAAAAATCTCATTTCCGCTAGTAATTCTTTAGACTCATGTATTCATAATGATTTTATTTACCACTATTTTTTAAGGTAAGTTTCATCATATATTGATTTATTTATATTTCTACATTTTAGTACAATATATTTCAACCTCATTATCAAATAAGCTTTAAGAATTTTAATTTTAATCTTGATTTCATCAACTATTCAAATCCCTGATATTTAGAGATGTAAAAATATGTGGGGATTTTCATTAATATTAAGAAAATTTGTCTCATGTTGCTTGAAGATGTAATAGAATATAGTTTATTAATCTATCTTATTTTCTAATGTGCTACAAAAAGAAGAAAAGTGACATTTGAACCATTATTACTATTGAAAGAAACATATCTCCTTTTGGAGTGACATAGTTAACTTTAAATTTAGTATATATTTGGAAACTAAAAAATATATCATAATTAATTGTTTTTATTTTTTTAATACATGTTGGAGAGGGGATTTGAACTCACCAACCTTTTAGTTTGAAGTATATGTCAATTATTGCAGAGTTATACTCACTTTGACATCGTAATTAAACTTGAGTTAGAAAATTGTGTCTAATAGATATTTGAACTTTTAATTAACTATCAATTTTGTATCTAATAAATCCTTTAACTTTAAAAGTGTCAAATAAACATATCAATTTTTTGTTTTGTGTTTAATAGGTCCCTAATTTGTAAGATATTTTTTAAAATTCACACTTATAATTAATAGATCAGGTCTTATTTGACAAGAAAACTTAATATTGTGTCCAACAAATCTAAAAATCTTTAAAGATGCCAAATAGATCAAGTATATATTAAAACAAAATTCAAACCTCAGGCATATTTTAGAGTGATSTACCTATTACTTTTTAAAGTTCAAGGATTTGTTGGACATAGTTTTGAAAGTTTATGATTAAACTTATAATTTAATTTTTAAATTTTTAAGAAAAATCTCAATAATTTATAAAAATAAAGGGTTAAGTAAAATTCAATAAATATTATTTTTTATTTTTATTTTTATTTTTTCGTATTGGCTGTCACGCTGGCAGTTCACATGTCACTCCAGCTTATCTCATGTGCCMTGCTGTAAGAAAGAGARAAAAAAAAAAGAAGCTTCTAAAAGACAGCTCCACGCGCCTTCTAAAATCTATACCTGAATCAACCATTTAAAACTTGCCACGTGGATACTACAACCAATGGTAACCAGCGTGTTGTTCACGCGCTAAAGTGTCAGTGATACGTTTAATATAACTTAATCGACGGAAACGAGATTTAAAAAATTGGGATTTGACAGTTAATTAGTTGCCGTCATTAATTATCTGACGAATTTACCCCCCGTTTCTGGTTCTTGAAGCGCCATAACCAAGTGAAATTACTTATTTGCCCCCGATCCCGCTCATGAAATTCTGACAAATCTTTGTTTTTTGTTTTGGAGTGTTTTAGTCAAAATATTTATGATAATTAATTGGAGGGAATCCATATCTTGATTTTGGATTTAAATTCAAATATTTAAGTTCTTCTTGTTCAAATATGTAGACTTCAACCTTCCAACTTATGATATATGTTTTATTTGAGTTTAGGTTCACGATTTTAATCTTATTCTATTTTATTTGATAATACATATATCGCTCGTATAATATTGTTTTATGAAATTTAAAGGTGTGTTTCTATTGGTGGTTGTTGATTTTCTTTATAGTATTACAATTCAAATATGGGTGAGAATTCAAATTTATATTAATCTATTAATATTAATTAGCTGAATTCAGTTTAGATTAGCAAAGTTGTTGGATAAATTATTCAATTTTGGTTCACAAACTCTCATAAATATTTATCTTAGGTTTGTAGTTTATTTTTCGTATAATTTTTAACATTAATATTAGATAATTTATTTTAAAGATCACATCATGTCATGCAAAGTTTTTGTTAAATGTAATTACAATAATTTAGGAACAAGGACCACGATATATTTTTATATGAAATTTAGGGATCAAAATACCTTGAAGACCAAAGTTTTATTTTAAATCTAAAACTTGTAAAGAAAATAACATCGGGGATTTTATACTTGATAATTGAGTTGTAATAGTCTATTTATTGGTCAAATATGCAAATTAAACCAATTAATGAAAATCAATTGAATGGATCTATTTGTTTATGTTTCATTGATTTCTATTTGTTTTGGACTTAGTAGTCAAGTGTTCGATTTAAAACAAATTAGAACTCTTTTTTTTTAAATGATTAATAAAAAATTAACGATTAGAATAATTTTTATGCAAAGTTTTATTAATTAAAAAATAATTCTCAAAAGTTTAGGATCAATAATACAAGCATATTGTTATTTGAAAGACCATTCATAAATGTTAGGTTATGTTTTTGTTTAGCAAAGGCTTTCAGTCACTAACTCAAATATAATTACTAGGGTTTAGTTCRATAATTATTTTATTTTGATTTTCTACTCTTAAAAAGGTAAACTTGTAAATATTATTTCTATTTATATATTTCGCTATCTACTTTCATTTATTAATAAAAGTTGAAATACCAACAAAAAAAGTAGTTTATATTTTTGAAATTATGCTAAGAATTAAATTAAAATTTGTTTTAAAGAAAAGTAATAACATATTAAAAATTTGTGAAGAAGCAAATATAATTTTAAAAAATATAAAACTAAAATTAAAATGGCTATGAAATAGTCGGGCTAATTAATCTTTGACCTTGCTTTAAAAATTATTCTCACACAATAGTTTATGTTTGTCAACATTTTTCCCCTTTTTTTTCTTTTCTTTGTCTCCCATTTTTAGTACAATAAATATATTAAGGAACCCAAAATGGAACTTCCAATCTTTAAGAAAGAGGGTAAGAGTAAGGTTTTAAATATGATAAAAATATTGAGGTCTCAATTTCATAAAAATATCGATAAAAATGTYGATGTCGATATTGATGGATATTTTTGTAAAAGTTAAAATAAATTTAAAAATCATAAAAAATATTGAAATTAATGAATAAAAATTTTACTATTTCTAAATAAATTTAAAATAATTAATATTAATATTATGTATATATTAGTGGAATTTTTTTGATATTTTTCATATKTTGATGACTTTTTGTAATATGATGAAAATATTGATGTTGAATCCACTGATGCATGAAAATATCGATGGGTCTTTAATACGATGAGTAAGAGGCTTCTCTTTAAAGGTTTAAAAAACAACTCTTTTTTTTGTAATTATTTCTTAAAATAACAAACAAAAAGAAACAATGTAATTTAAATAAAAAAAACTAAAATAATAGCAAAATCTGGACGACAGATCGACTCGACCGACAGATCATGTCGTTTTCTATCGAACAGTGAAGGCATATTCCGACACAAGTCAAAGGACATTAATGGCATTAGGGGCAAGGGTATATTTGTCCTAAGACCCAAAATATTTGAAAACTAATTAAAATTAAACGATCTTAATCTCAGCCGTCCATCTCCATAATCCAACGGCATCAAAGGTGGTTGATCAAATTGGAGGGAATCATTAACCACCGTCCGATCTCTCTCTGCCCATCTCACTCGCATATATAAACCACTCACCAGAGTTCTTCTTCATTGCTCAGTTTAATTACTTTTCTCTGATCACTCGAAGCTTCTTCTGCTGCTTCAGGTGAAATTCTGCTTCTCATCCTCCATTATCGATTGCAATTTCCTAAAGCTCTGTGATTTGATGTAATTCTAATGTTCTTCAATTCCGTTTTATCGTTTTGCAATCCGGAAATGAGGCCTCTTGTTCGATTTCTGTGTCTTTTGCCTTTAATTCGATCTCGTGATTACCTTATGATTCGACTCCGTGTTGTGTTCCGTTTGATGCTAATTTTTGAAGCTGGAGATCATTCTATTTAGTTCTAGTTATCAATTTCGATCGGAATGTTTCGTTCTTATTTCTGGTGATTTGATGTCGTTGTAATGGAGCTGTTTGTACTCTCACTTGATGCGTTGAATTCGATTTCATACTGGTATTTGTGTGTTTATTGTGTTTTGAATCTAAATTGGGTTTAATTTTAGGGAAAATGAGGGAGATCCTTCATGTTCAGGGTGGACAATGTGGTAACCAGATTGGTTCCAAGTTCTGGGAGGTTGTTTGCGACGAGCATGGAATAGATCCAACTGGGAAGTATGTAGGAACTTCAGATCTACAGTTGGAGCGTGTCAATGTTTACTACAATGAAGCTTCTTGTGGGAGATTTGTTCCTCGTGCAGTGCTCATGGATTTGGAGCCTGGTACTATGGACAGCGTTCGCACCGGTCCCTATGGCCAGATCTTCCGCCCCGATAATTTCGTCTTCGGACAATCAGGCGCGGGAAACAACTGGGCTAAGGGCCATTACACTGAAGGTGCTGAGCTCATAGATTCAGTTCTTGATGTCGTAAGGAAGGAAGCCGAGAATTGCGACTGTCTTCAAGGTATAATCAGCTTATATGCTTGTTGTTCTGAAGTTGAGTTAAGTTCTCACAATTCAATCGTTCTTTAATTTCTGTGCAGGTTTTCAAGTTTGCCATTCTTTGGGGGGAGGAACTGGTTCTGGAATGGGTACTCTGCTCATTTCCAAGATCAGAGAGGAGTACCCTGACAGGATGATGCTTACATTCTCCGTTTTCCCATCACCAAAGGTTTCGGATACAGTGGTTGAACCATACAATGCCACCCTTTCTGTTCATCAGCTTGTTGAGAACGCAGATGAATGCATGGTGTTGGATAATGAGGCCCTTTACGATATCTGCTTCAGAACTCTTAAGCTCACCACTCCTAGCTGTAAGATTCTTGAAAAATATCCGCCTTTCACTGCCCACCTTTTGCTTTTTAATTCATGCATTAAGTTGAATTTGTTCTCTGGTTATGTTTTGAAATTGATTAGAGTATTCCATGGATCTAGTCTCTCTCGGCATGCCATTGGTCCCAAATAGAACACTACAAACATAAAATGATATTTACTTCGAAAGGAAAATTCCTTTTCCGGACGTTCCCAAATTGATCTAGATTTGAGATTTCAGTTGCCACTACTTTCTATTTTTGTCCATCCGTGTATGTTAGAGCTGCATTATGAATCTTTATCTTAGAATGTTTATCGAACATGTGGAAATGTGATCGAGGATATTCGATATCTTGTTCGTCGCTTTCTTCTCTTGGTTGTCCTATCCCACGAATGGGAATTGGGATGCAACCATAGCATGTGGGCTGTGGTCCTAGTTCTTGACATCATCTGAGTTTTTTGTGAAAGATACTATTTCAAACCAGGACCACATTGTTGTCCAAACGCTGCAGTCCTGAAATCAACTGCATGCTGCAGTAACCATAAAATTTTGTGCTCTTCTTAGACTGATGTGATATTAAATCTTGGTCATATCATATGTTGTTTCTTTCCATGATGCTGATGTTGCCTACAATTAACAAGATTGGTGTAAAAATTTTCCTAATTCACATGTACTAAACTTTTAGTAATTTTGTTGCAGTTGGTGATCTGAACCATCTGATATCTGCAACTATGAGTGGAGTTACCTGCTGCCTCAGGTTCCCTGGCCAGCTTAACTCCGATCTTAGAAAGCTGGCTGTAAACTTGATTCCCTTCCCTCGGCTACACTTCTTCATGGTCGGATTTGCGCCTTTGACATCTCGTGGCTCGCAGCAGTACCGTGCGTTGACGGTCCCGGAATTGACTCAACAAATGTGGGATGCGAAGAACATGATGTGTGCTGCTGACCCTAGACATGGGCGGTACCTGACTGCCTCGGCCATGTTCAGGGGCAAAATGAGCACCAAGGAAGTGGATGAGCAAATGATCAATGTCCAGAACAAGAACTCTTCCTACTTTGTAGAGTGGATTCCAAACAATGTGAAGTCAAGTGTGTGTGACATTCCCCCCAAAGGGCTTTCCATGGCGTCCACATTCGTCGGGAACTCGACGTCGATCCAGGAAATGTTCCGGAGAGTGAGTGAGCAATTCACTGCCATGTTTAGGAGAAAGGCTTTCTTGCATTGGTACACAGGTGAGGGAATGGACGAAATGGAGTTTACCGAAGCCGAGAGCAACATGAACGATCTCGTCTCCGAGTACCAGCAATACCAGGACGCCACCGCCGATGACGAAGGCGAATACGCCGAAGAGGACGAACCAGAGGACCACATGTAAACTCACTCATATTAAAAGACTGCAATAATGAGGCCATGATCAGTAGGAAGTTGGAGTGTTCATACAAGTTTGCATTTATGCATTGGTTTCCACTGTCTGCTTGTGTCTAGTGTATTTTTTTCTTTTTTTTAATTTTTTTTTCAATCTTTGCTGTCATGGGTTGATATTATTGGTTTTGTATAATATTGAAGTTTTTGTATTTTTTTTTTCTAATTTCTAGCAGATTCTTTACTATGACGGAATCAAAGAGTAGCATTAATTTATCCATTCCATACACCAAAAGAGGATGGGAGATGTAGATTTTCCGAAGTCTCCAAAGAAATACTCTCTTTGGGAAATGGTAGAAATTGAACACTCTCTTATTAAGAATGAAAATGTATCTTTGAGAGTGATATGAATCTCCGAGAGCTATCCACTAAGACGCTCTTTTATATAGAAAGGCTACTTCGAGGGGAAAAAAAGTCCAAACATGACWTTTTTTATTTGGAAAGTCACAAGAAAAATAAAGTTACAACTTTCAAAAGTGATAATTTAGAAGAGTCATCTGTTCAGAGCAATATATTAGTTCAAGATCGAATGATTCAAATTTGAACATGGATCAAAAAGTGGTTCAAACTAGCAAAGAGAAATTCAGAGCCAACGCCATGTTTATCAACATGGCCTACATCTTAACCATCAATGCCACACACTTGGAATAGAACTCTTTCTAACCTTCAAGGAATCAACCTATCGACGTCRATGATCAAACATACCATAAATTGAACCAACCCAAGCATTACACATGGATCATTACTATGTATTTTCTAACCGAAAAATAATTTTAAAAAATATAACGTGTTCCACCCTTTTCAAATACCTTCCTATTACTTTATCCAAAAAAAAAAAAAAGGTCTTGTACCTCTTGGATATTAATTATTTCACTTGTTCAAAAGAAGGGAAAAAAAAGTATTGAGACAAACCACCAAACCTCCTACCTCTTTATTGTGGCATCTCATCCCCCTTCAAGTTGCTGTTTAGTATAGGTGAAAATGGAAACAAATGAAATAATAAAATAAAGAATAGAAAGATCATACCAATGGCCAACAGCTGGAGCCAACTTGATCCATTGGCATTGATTCTTTGATTCAATTTAATGAGCTCTAATTAAATATATTTCATTTCAAATGATTCAATTTGGATTTTTCCAATCCATTCAACCAATTTTCCAAACTAACCCACCAGCCACAGCCTAGTTTATTAATCTTTGGTGGGGAACTACGGGAAGATAATAGAATAGGAATCACATTATGGAAATGCCAAAAATACCCATCTGGCTCTAGAGAAGTTGAGTGAGAGATGTTCAAAATTCATACTAGAATTTGTCTGGTAACATCAAATAGATGATTTAAAAGTCTCGCTCAAAAACACAAACATAAACTGCCTCTCTATATCAGAAACATGTAACTAAGTGTTGGAATAACAGTCCAACTTTCACATGATCCACTTATTCATGCAGCGTTCCTAATAGATCTTCGTCACGGAATAGATATAACCTGAAATTCAATGGTTAAATTATTCATCGGGGACTAAATACAAAAGAAATGAGGCAAATGCAGTTATGGGAGAGCATCAAAATGAATACAACAATTGAACGAAATTGAGACTAAATTACTAATACAAAGATTGAAGAATTGATGCTTGCTAGAACTAGCAACTTCATTTTGTAATTTTTCATTCTTTGGTTATTTGAGAACAAAGTATAAGACAACCCATATTGAAAATATAAAGAAAACTCTAATTTACTCAGAAATTCACCTTTACAAAGGATCTGAGATGATTATATTCAAAATCTCCAAGTAATAATATTTATCCGTGAGTGTCCAGACCAGCTTACGTGCACCTCGACTAATCTCACGGGACAACCGCCTGACCCTTAGTACCGAAAACCCATAGGAATTACTAATTCCTAAAGTAGGTGACCRTCATGGGATTTGAACCTATTCCCTTTTAATTAACCCTGGTCCCTTTGGACCAATGAGCCATGCATGATGATTGAATTTGTTTTAAAATTAGGACAAACAAGAAATCATTCCCATGTTTTTTTGCTCTTTGTTCATGTCCTAGTAAATTGATACAATTTTTCAAGTTACTGAAAGGAGACAATCCCTGTATAGATGACTACTCTATCTCATAAAATTGTCTAACCCGACCGTCAAAAACCATCATAAACTAACTAGAAACCGCCCAATTATGCAGTAATAAAGACAGGAGTCAGGACGTATTACCACCATTAGACATTTCTTCTTGACTAATCCAAGACAAATCTAAATTAACTATAACACAGTACAATGACCAACAATATAAACTCATCACACTACAAGATCTCCCTATTAAACACAAATGTCAAGAACATTGAAATATTCAGCATGAATTTTTAAGAGCAACAGAAATTAAAATAAAAATCATAGTAACTATTAGACCACATGGTGCAATGTGCGGTGGCTCTACCAGAACTAAAGATTATTTCCAATTACCTGGTTTAAATTCTAAACTAAATTCTTAAGCAAACAGGCCTAAAATTCCATAAACAACAGAAGTAAAAAAGAATAAGTATACTAATACTATACATACTGCTTATCTCCAAGTTTGACTTCAGTTCCTCCATATTCTGGCAGGAGGACGGTGTCACCTTCCTTTACAGTAACTGGAATAAGGTTTCCCTCTCTGTCACGAGTTCCAGGACCAACAGAGAGAACTTTTCCAGAGTTCAACTAGACAAGGAAAAAAATCAGTACAAATGGCACTCAATATGTGAACAACCAATTTCATAATGCAAAGCTGAATGTCACAGACTCACAACAACTTTATACATACTAATTAATGAAGACAACTTTTTCAAATTTCGTCCTTCCAGAGCAGGGAGTGTAAGATTAAACTTTACAAGCTAKAATCCAAGTAATATTTATCATGAACGAAACAACCACAAAAAAGACCAATGGAAGGAGGAATCCTCAATCAAAACTACTCCGCAAGGTTTTCCCACTCAAAAAACTTCTTAACTAACAAAGATTTCTGTTGATAATGAATATTGCACCAGTCAAACACAATACCCTTTTCGGAGAAAATCATGGAATGAAATAGTCACCAATATTGAAATTAGTAAAGGAAATGAAACGAAATGAATTGGATACTCACATTTCAAGACATTATGCAATACTTCTTAAATAGGCGATTACAACAACTAATAACTAAACTAGATAGATGACAGGAAACGAAAGTATACACCAAATAACTACAACAAAATGGCATCCACAAGCACCAAATTTGAAGTCACAAGTCACAACATTTGAAAAAACCATATATCAGAATCTGGGTCATAAATAACGAAAACAAAAAAGGCGAAATTTCCGGCAAACTCGATTCCCACAAATTTCCACAGCAAACAAAACAATTAACAAATTTTTTTCAGAACAAGAACGAGCATTTACCTTACTGGACTTCTCAGGGAGCAAAATGCCAGTGTTGGTTTTGGCAGGGGGCACGATCTTCTCGATCAAAACGCGATTCAGCAACGGGACCAAACGTTTCGCCATCTCAGGCAATCGGAGAAATTGAAACTCGGCCTGAACCCTAAAATCAGCGCTGCGTCTGCGATTTTTGCAGAGTTTTCTCCACGGCCTAGGGTTTAAGGAGGGGTTTGTTGGCTTCAATGTCAAATTACGTAAATAGACATCATGGGGCCCTCAGTTTTTTCCAGATTGAGGGTAGTTTCGTAAATTAGTCGATCCCCCTTGTTCTAGAAAGATCTCTCTCTCTACTAGAACATGGGGATTTTTTGTTCACATGATTGGATTAATTTTTTGATTCTTTTAGGCTAAATATATATTTTTAGTCCCTTTATGTTTTTTTTAATTTAATTTTTATGGTTTAAAAAGTTTTAATTTCATCTTTTATATTTTAATATTTTAAATTAATTTCTTATCCACTGATAAATATTAAAATTGACTTGTGATAAATTTACATGACATAAATATGAATAAATAGAAATTTAGTAGAGAGAAAATTTGGACAAGAGAATAAAACTCGAAATTTTTTAATAATTTGGAGGAGCAATTAGAAAATTTTCTTTGAAGATGAGATTTTTCCTCTTGCATGTCAATAGAATGTTAGGTACGTCATAGTTAGTCAATTTTAACCTTTGCCAATATCTAGAGATTAAATTGAAAAATGTTAAAATAAAAAGAACTAAATGGGAAAAACAGACTCAAACATTAGTGACTAAAACATATATATATTTAACCTATAATGTAATCCTCATTAAAAAAAATCTTATCTCTAATATTTCAAAGGATATATTCCATCTTTATATTTTTTTTTAATTAGAAAATTAATCTAACAATTTAATCCCCTATAACTTAAATTTTTATCGACTTAATCCATAAGTTTTAGTATAATTCCTATTATGAAAAATCTTGTCAAAATTTAATATAGTATGATTTTTAGTAAGTACAAAATCTCTCATCACACCTTTCCTTTTTTTTTTTTTATAAAGCCCTCATTACATCTTAAATTCTTTTAGTTTTAAAAATGCATTTGATCCTTGTAATCTAGGGGATACACACTTTATACTATTTTAAGTACGATTTAATCAAATTTTAAAATATATGAACTAATAAAGGAAGATGAACCAAATGTGATTTTATCTTGCTGTCAGATTTTCTTTTTAATACAATTAGAAATAGATGTCTTAACCATTTAAACTATGCTCAAGTTGTCTTGCTATAAATTTACATAAAATAAATAAATAATATGATGTTAAATACCATTTATTAATAAAGTTATAATTAAATACCTTATATTTTAATTTGATGAAAAAGAGATGGTTACTCAAGAAAAAAAATTGAAAATTTACTCACTTCATGTGATCTAATATTGATTAATTCGGCTTAAAAACCACTCATTTATTAATTTATCTTGTCTCAATATGACTTCTTGTTATAAAAATTAATTCTACTAAGAATATTGTTGTACAAAAAAATTGATATATTATGGTGGACAACGGGTGGGATGGAGATGCATTCCTTATTATCGGGCCCAATTTTCATCTTTACCCTCATCCCCATACTTTGGAAGCAAGGACGACGACATGAATCTATCCATAATATAACGAGGAATTCCCGCTAGATTCTCTATAGTCACTCTATATCTTTTAAAAATAAGAATAAGTAATCTCAGTATTAATAAATAGTTAGAATTATGTTCGAACTATGGTAGTCACCTATCTAGGATTTAATATCCAACGAGTTACCTTGGCAATCAAATGTAGTACAATCTGATTGTCCCATGAGATTAGTCGATTGTCCCATGAGATTAGTCGATGTGCGCGCAAGCTAATCCGAACACTCACGGATATAAAAACAAAAAGTTGGAATTATTAAACAATATTTAAAAATAATTAAAATGTTTAAATGTAAGGTGTTTTTAATTCCAATAGTTTTCTTAAATGCAACAGATACCATCAATTTAAAAAAAAAAATTAAAACATATTTCTCTAATCACCTAAAACAAATATAGCTTTTATTTTTTTAAGAAAAAAGTTCTAATATATTGGGGTGGGCCTATTGGATTAATAGCCTTATTAAAAGAGGGAGGGAGAAAGAAAAACCATTTTTAAAATTTAAACATCATTATTCTTTAGCATTTAGTGACGAATTTGATTGGAAAAAAAAATAATAAAAGGTTGGAATTGAAATTTGGACAAAATTGAAAAAGTGCATCGGTGGTAAATATATAATTTTACACCCACAAAAAATGTAATAATAAAAAATGAATGAATGATATATGAGGTTTGATATCATAAAATTTCTAATGAATCCATTTTCTATAATATAAGTGTGAATATAGGGATGACAAAAATATTCGCGGGACTTGATCCACGCGGGTATCCAACCCGATCGGGTCGATGATTTCCTGATTTGATCGGGAACGGGGTCAAATCAGGGATCCCAATCGGATTCCTCGGCAGGAACGAAATTGGTCCCCCGCCCCGTCCCCGTCCTCAGCCCTGCCCCGTTTAATTTTTTATTACTTTTTCTATTTTTATATAATAATATTAATATATATTAATTTTATAAATTTTTTTAATTTTTTTTTAAAAACTCAAACTATACCCCATTTAGCCACTTTTATATTAATAATAACAAAAATTAATTAAAAATTTTTAAAATTAAATTTAAAAATTAAAAAAAATTTATAACGGGGACAGATTCGCGCCCCAAAATTTCGAAGATGGGGGCRGGGATGGAGATGGCCCCCCAATCCTGCCCGGTCCGTTGCCATCCCTAAGTAAATAAATTAGGTATAAATTAAGAAGGTATCAATTCAATTAATTATCATTGTTATTAGAAATTAGGTTTTTAAGTGAAAATATCTTCTATAGTGAAGAGGGACAAAACTTCTTGTCATTATTTTTCTTTTGACAAATAAAACTTATATTTGAAGTGGGAAGCTTGTGAGGTTATATTTGTAATCATGATAAATAACTATTTATAGTTATATTAATATATCATAATCTAATTTTGAAATATATTAATTAAAGATGTGAAATAAAAGCTCAAAATTGTTTCATTCTTTCTTTTTATCACATAAATAATTCCATATTCAAAAGGTAACAAATAAGTTGGCCAGTCAATCTCATAAATCTTATCAAATCAGAAATAAATGACCACATGCACAGTTTACTGCATTAATCGAGAGTGTTCAAAATAGATTAATAACAGTGATAATAAATATATTCAATAAAACATTAAATATTATATATAAAAGATATGTTAATTGAAAGAAAGAAAAAATAATGAATTAAAGAAACCTAAAAATTAAGAGTTAGTAGTCAAAATTTTCAAGCTAGTATAAAAAGAATCCCTAGGAATCAATGAAAAATTTTGTAATCAAAATATAGATGGTGAAAATTTTATTCATTTGTAGATAGTTTCAAGAGCTTCTCAAAATTCACAAACAATGAAAAAAATAATATAATAAAATTAAACTTACATTAATCATCATTTCAATCCACATATTTTCTACTAAATTTTAATTTAATTCCTATAATTTTTCAAACTTTTTTATATGACATATTTTATTTAGACATGATAAATAAAGAAAACTCTCATGTATGTATGTATATTATTGAAATGTTAAATTATATAAATCAAGCTATTGTAAATTTCAAATAAATTAAAGTTATGTATATATAAAGCACTTATTGATTTGAAACATGCAAATAACAATTTAGAAATGGTAAGAATGTGGGGAAAAAAACAAAAGAACAATGATAGATGTATCAAGTACTTTGACCAACAAAAGAAAAAGTTAGCAATAGAATTCATAAGCTTCATGATGTTGTTGTGTGTACTCATCAAGACAATGCCTCATCTAAGATTTGATCTTTTTTTTCTTTCTTCTTTCAGGAAAGAAATTTCTTTAAACGATTCAAAAGTCATCAAGGTAACTGAATCTTGACGATTAGTATTAACAAGTCTGAAGAAGAAAGTTTGATAACCTCATGAACTCAATTCCCAAATTGACGCCTCCCTAGCAAGGGAGTGAACAACACCATTAGCTTCTCTGAAAATGTGGGAGAAAAAATCGCTTCAAATGATCGAGTCAAACTTTGAATGTCATCAACACAATTTACTGCTTCCCCTTGCCAACCATAATTCCCACGAATCAACCTGATAGCTTTCGACGATAAATGTAACTTTTTTATACACGATAAAAATAGCTAGTAAAGTTTCATATCGAGATACAAATATAAGATATGTCTCTCTACTTCAAAGAGGAGATTTCGGACCAATAATTATGGTACTTCTAAGAAAAATGTAAAAAATGATGTCTCTTTTGAAAATTATGAATTTAACTAAATTAGTCAAACATGTTATAAAAGGTACCATGCATTAACTTGAGTAAAATATAAAACCTTGAGAGATATTTTTTTTTATTTTTATGACAAATTAAATTATTAAATATTAAATTTATCTATGATATAATTATTACAATTATGCCAACATGAATATATAGCACAGCAAGTAATTGGTATATACTACTTGAGGTTGGAGGTTTAAATCTTCATAATTTCAACGTGTTGTACTAAAAAATAAAATAAAATAATTGTTGGATTGTAATTCTATCAAAATATATAATATCATTATCCCATTTTATATTTGATATAAAATGAAAATCAAATGGATTGAAAATAATTGATCAGTAACAAAATTATTTCACGGACTTAGGAAATCATAGGGTTAATATATATATATATATATATATATATATAATTTTTTATTAAAAAAGAATAATACTATAAATATGAGATGGATTTTTGAACTTTAAGATTTAGGGAACTTTAAAATTTAGGACGGTTTGTTTTTGGAAATGTAGATGTCTGGAATCTCATATTCCCGAAATTTTAGATGTTTGGAATTTCAGATAGTTTTGTAGGAAAATTTATAAGAATATCTGAGAATATTTTGATAGCCAAGTTTGTTTTACACGATTTATTTATGAGAATATTTTAAATTTATATAATGTTCCAAAAATACCCTTACCGATCATCATATAATTTTTATGTTAAATTTAATATTATTTGAATTCATATAAAAATTTTACTTTTATTAATTTAATATTATATTTTATG